TGACACAGAGATGCATTCCTGTTTTGCCAGTGCAGCTCTGATTTCTGGCTCATCATGTGTTCACTCTGTGCCAAGTGTCCTAAGTGCAGTGTCTCCGTGACTTCTAACATCGACCCTATAAGGGATGTCTATCCTTTACCCCATCTTACAGATAAGGACATTGAGGCCGGAAGAGGTTAATTACTTTTCCCAGGTCACCCTACAGTACGTGGTACAGCTGTGATCCAAACCGCAGGGCCATTATTTTGAGTTTTGAATTTTTTCTAAAGTAGATAATTTTTTACTTCGTAATGCATTCTTGTGCAAGTACACATATACCTCCATCACGTGATTCACATATTGTATAAGATGATACAATTTTTATTGGAGTATAAGGACACTAACATCATTACACTACCCCCTGATTTTCTTCTCTGCTCTTCTACATGACCATAAGCTGCAATATTTATATTATACTCCGGAAATCCTGAAGTCGTATTAGCTTTGTTTTTACACTGAGGAGATACTAGAGACTAGGTTCATGATCCATCCTTCTTAATTGGCCGAGTGTCTTCAAGAAGGATTAATGTAAAAGGAAGTCTCTGAGTTCTTGCTTCTTTGACAGTAACCAAGACGAGCTGAACACGTTCTTTCTCTGGGGACTTTGTAAGCCCTGTGTCCTTGTATCCTAGACTTGAGTTCTGACAAAGTTTCAGTCCTCTCTGATGGCTCCCCTTAGAACTGACTGGGGACCCTGGGCTCCTCCTGGGGCTACTCCTGTTTGAGCATCGCTTGGAAAAAAAAAAAAAAAAAGAACTGACTTGGTCCTTTTTTTCTGGATGCCCACTGGATGCTGTTTTTAGCTCTGAAGTCCAGCAACTTTAGTAAGAAATGTCTCAGCTTTGATTGTTCTCTGCTCATCTACTGAGACAGTGGTACCCTTTAAATCCATCTATTTAGGTTGTCTTCTTCTGCAATTTTAAAAATTGTATCTCTTGGATTTTTTTTCAGTTTTAAACATACCTAAAAGTGCATTTTTATAGATATGGTCCTCATTCTTTTTGACTGTTACTCAACTGTGAAATCAATTTTAGAGGACCAGGTATTTGTCAGGTAGCACTGTGGGAGAGAAGAGAGTTTTTTTCTAAGACAGGTGTGTTTACCTGCGTACCATTGCTGCCTCGGTCCAGGTGCTCATAACTGTGCATGCGCATTAGAACACCTTCGAGCTTCTAAAAACCATCTATGCCTTGGATCATTCCAAGGTTTTTCATTTAACTGGCCCGGGAGTGGTGCTTGAGAATTGGTGTGTTTTAAACTTCCCAAGGTCATCCTAAGGTATAGCCAGGTTGGCCCCTCGTATTCGTGAACACAGATCAGCAGCATTGGGGCCCCTCTAGACTGAGGGTCTGTCGTCTACTCTATTTCTCCACCAACCGCTCGGCCCCAACGAGGGCTCCACTTTGAGGTACCTCACTGAGTCCCAGAAAGCTCCCAGGGTCAGCCACACACTGATTCCCTGGCTCAAAGAGAGGACTGTTCTGTTTCTCTGGGAATATTATTTTTAATGTCAGCATTCTGCTGGCTCTGCCAGAGATCCTCAGTAGCCAGAATCCTTTCGGGAAGTATTCTGTTAGACACCTGGTCTTCTGATGTGTGGTTTATTAGTTACAGGTTTTTCGGAGTCCTTGAATATGGAAATTGCATTTCTGTTTCTCAGTCTCCTTGATGGTGGATGATTTCAGGGATGCAAAGGTGTCTTTACTTTGCAATTTTACAGTTGGGGCTCTGTGTCATTTTTCTACTTTAATGACTCTGGCTTTTAATATATTTCAAAAATTGAGTTTCTCAATATCATCAGTTTTAAATTTTAATGAGACAAAGCTACTTATCAATGAAATTTTATAAATGCGTTGCAATTCAATGTATTGTATGACAATTTGATTAGTAAGAAGAGGAAATGTGCTCCTTTTAAATTAATCATGCTTACTTACATATAAAGTACATTGGTCAAATTTATATGGACAATTGGGCACCTGTTTTAAATTCAACTGCATGCAAAAAGAGATGATCATGTGAGTCTAAGAAAATAATTTCTTCTCCTCATTTTTGGGGGAAAATTATATTTTGTTTCCATAAAAACTTTAAAGATGATCTAAAATACCACAATTTGTGTATCTACATAGATGCATAATAACAGACCATTTCAGTCCAAACTACAGTGACCATTTTAAAATTTTCTGATTATAGTACAAAGTTAACATTTCATTATGTAACCATTAGTCATACAATGGCGTTGAACTCAAGCATCATTTGAGAAAAAGAAGCAAGCAGACCAAATTAAGCTTGTATAGAAAAGCAAGTCATGAGGAGTAGTGAATACTGCCAACAAAAACACAAAACTGGGGGAAAGAACAACAAGAAAACAACTTACTTCTCTATTATGGCTCTATATCCTAACACAAACATGACTGGTCACCATCAAATTCAAAAGAACATATACTTTGTTCAGTCCATTAGAAAATATTTATAGAGGCCGGCACTGCGCCAGGCCCTGAAGACATGGAGATGAAAAGATGTACTTCCTGTTTTCAAGGAGCTTAAATCCTTGGGAGATAAATGTGCAAATATACAGTAAGATTACTGCCTTAGTGGGGGCCTGCTGCCCGCAGGGCAGTTCTCTCCTTGAGTCAGGCTTCTCAAGCCAACACACTCTGTGAGGAAACTCCCTCCCTCAAAGAGTACCGTACATGGGTTGAAGTCATTGGAAGTTATAGTGAAGAAAGCTGAATCAGCTTGAATATAGTGCAGCATTTTGAGGGTAGGCACAGTTGCTGCATTCAAAATGGCCAGGAAGTAATTTGATTTAGCAATATGATTCGAAAGGACTGGAGGTATTTGTGCAAGGTCAGCCTCACTACTGAATGCTGGCCACCCTCCATACAAGACATGGGTACAGCCAGTTAGCCCCCCTTAAGAGAAAGAGCTGCTGGCTCTGAGAAGCCGTGCGTTCTAGCTGTGCCCCAGCTCTTAGGATTCCTGCAGCTTGTTTCACCAGTTTACCAAAGCTATATATGCATCTCCCATACCACATCTGTAATTTCCTGCTCATCCCTGACAGTCATTGGTATAATGCATAAAAGTCCTCTGCTCTTAGGAGCGGAGGGGAAGGCTGTGAGATTGATTCCAAAGCCAGATAAGTTTAAGAGAGTACAGCAAATTGAGATGCTTCCACATCTGCTGGCTTCTGAAGTTTTTGACTTTATAAAATTATATCATTGGCCAAAGGGATGAAAGATTATCTGTCTAAATTCAATGCTGGAAATCCACCTCTGAGGGCATATTAAAATACAAGAATAAAAATTTAGGAATGTTATTTGCAAAACTCACTTTTTTTAAATACCAACTATTTGTGTTTTTTCAGGCCAAGTTCAGTATTCTATTCCAGCCAGAGGCTGTAGCCTTGTGGTTTAGTCCATATACCAGAAAAATATTCCTCAATCAGTGCAAGACCTTCACATATTCTTTCTGAAATTCCCATACTTGGCCCAGAGTTCTTGATGCCATCCTGCAATAACACCGTCTGTGAGCTGCCATCACTAAAGGCTGGGGCGAGAGGAGGATTTATCAGCCACTGTTCCTGATGTACAAAGATTGATTGGCTGGGTTCATAGCAGTTGCCATCAGGGTTGAAAGGAACTCATGCTTTCTTCCCTGGCCATGGAAACTTCCCATTGTACAGCTGTCCACTGAGATATGAAACCACACTAAAAGTCACAAAATAGATTTGGCTTCCAAAGATAACCACCACCCTGCTACACACTGAGATTCTTCTCTAAGATTCTGTGAGTGTCTACACGCTCTTAAATGCACCCGGGCCTTGACACTTTAAGGAAAAATTGTTTTGTTTTTTTTTCAAATGATTCTGATAACGATTCTGTTATGGACTGAATGTTTGTGTTCCCCCCAACCCCAAATTCATATGTTGAAGTCCTAACCCCCAGTGCGATGACATTAGGAGATGGGGCCTTTGGAATGTTGATTCAATTTAGATGAAGTCATGAGAGTGCTCTCTCATGATGGGATTATTTCCCTTCAAGAAGAAGCCAGAGAGTTTTCTCCCTCTTCCTCTTCCTCCCTCCATGTGCAAGCCAAGGAGAAAGGCCTCACCAGATCCAACCATGCTGGCACCCTGATCTTGGACTTCCAGCCTCCAGACTGTTGAGAAATGAGTTTACATTATTTACACCACCCAGTCTATGGTATTTTGTTATGGCAGCCTGAGCTGGCTAAGACAGATTCTCAAAGCTGGAATAATTGTTCAGAATTCCATGGGGTTTTTTTGATTCAGTAATGAAATTTGTACAACTTGCACAGAAGTGTAATAAATGCAATGATATCAAGTAAATGGCAGATGCTAAGTGCTTTCATTACTGTATATTAAACAGCACATTTCAGGACTTCATAGGACAAGCCACAGATAAATGTATACATTTGAGTACAACATATTCATGTATAAGCACTTCCCACTCATCTATTATACAGTTGATAGATATTCATTAAGTATTTCCTTAGCTGTCTTCTGTTCCAGGATTACTTTCCAGCTCTCATGCACTCACTCAGTGGCTACTATTTCAGAGACATAAGACTTACCTTGCCTACTGGGGTACAGTTACATGCGGAAGGACACCAAGCCTTGTTTATCTTTGAGTCAACAAGCCCTGAACCTTGATCAATGAAAGATTTTTAAGTGCTCTAATTAAGAATCAAAAATAGTCTAAAATCAGGGATATTTCACTCTCTACAAACATTGCCGAATATCCACCCAAAAGCAGACTGTACTTTACAGACTGCAGGGGAGACTATATCACAATCTAGGCAGACGATTAAAATCTGCCGTTGTGTTTCTTAAATGCTATATAGCCAATCTTAACAGAAAATATCAATCACACAAGTATTCTTTCCATTTCATAAACATTGTAAAAAAGAAACTGAAAATGTGTTTTAGCGGTAAGACAGACCTATCTCATTAAAGCCACTGTAGCCCAGCTCTTGCCTGCTAAGTCCCAGGTCTTCAAGGTCCATGCATTTAAATCCTGGGGGGCACTGGTAGCCTTCCTCCAGCTCTGGTGAGCAGTGCGTATCTGGGATAGCTAAGCTATTCCAGGTTACATTTCTGTGAAAAAATTACAAAAAGTTAGCCGATTTCGACACTTGTAAATGTTGATCAAAATGAATAACGTAATCACCCTTCACTAACATCTGCTCCGTATGGACACAGATGTAAAATTCATGATTCCCGAATGGTGTTCATAGCATCGATGATGGTAAACATTTCTCAAATGATACCTGATTCATCCTCACAGTAGCGCTTTATAAGAATACTATTACCATCATTGTTTTTGTCATTAAGGACCAAGACCCAGATAAGCAAAGGAAAGAATTTTCCTGTAGATTTATAAGGAATGTTAATGTGCTTGGGGCTTCCTTGTTATTCACAAAATGCTTAACCTGACTGTAGGTACAAATTTTACTTCTCCACTTCTAAGCAATAGTAAATGATGACAGTCATTTACCATATGGTTCGACTACTATGAGTCTTATAAATGACACTTGGTCTTCCTCTGTGTTGGCAGAGGAACACGAGGGTCATTTAGGTGGACAGTGATACATCCCCGTTTCATTGTTCTGGAGGGCAACGTGGAGATTAAATTGATGTACAAGGATTTAGATAAGTAATGGCTTTCTTGGGAGCAAGTACAGGTCATCATTGGAACGGCAACTGTGGAATCTCATTCTGGGTTGGCCTCTAAAATGGGCCCCAAATAGCTGCTATCGGAGGCAATTCACATGGCTTGTGCAGTGGCCAAAGTTTAGGCTAGACAATTTCACAAGGCTTCTAAATCCATGATTTTATTACAACTCATTTCCCACTACTTCGATGTTTCTAGGCATTTCCTAAGTGGGGACCGTCCTCAGGACAGTCTCTTTCCCTCAGCTTATGGCCCAATTGAGGCAGACATGTTGGGTCATATTTCTTCTTTAATACCCTCTTATATTCAATTAGCTGCTTTCTTCCCTGTATATAATATGCTTTCTCTAGAGTCTGACACCTAACTCTCTGAGATCCATTACCTGCATGAGGCCACCGTGCACATACACATTCATGAGTTTACACACACACTCCAGGCCTGGTGACACTTCACCCAGATCCGTCTCAGTCATAAACAAAGCTCTAAAAGCCTCACCTGCATTTCAGACACTTCAAGTGTGTTCCTTCAGATTCCGTTAGCTTCAAGGAAATAATCTGTCTGCTGGCTCGGGGAATAAGTATTTAAAGAATTGTTCCCAATCCTATGTTAAACTGCTCCTTTGGATCCCCCACGCAAAACTCCAGGGGAAAGGTCTTGTTGTGGAAATTACCACTTGGTTATGTCAGAGAGAGATGGTTTTAGGCAGACATATCGTGTATTTCTCTTCATTTCACCTTTTTATATGTAAGCCAAATATCCATCTTTGCTGACGTCTCGTCTGAGTTTCTGGTGTGGAACCCACACATTGGGGCAAAGTGGTAAGGGGACTGGGCTTCAGAGTTTCAGAGTAAGGTTTTCTGGGTTTGATCTCAAGCTCTGCCAATTACGAGTGGTGTGACTTGAACAAAGTTCTAAATGTCTCTAAGCTCAGTTTCTTCGTCTGTCAGCTACGGAGAGTAACCGTAATTAGAAGCAAAGCCTGTGTGAAGATTAAGTAAAGGAAACCAAGGAATGCACTCAGCCTAGCACCCAGCATGTTACAATAAAGAAAGGCTCAATAATAACAATAATGCTCAATAAATGCTTATTATAAACAATCAGTGATCATTACGATCATAAAATGTAGCGTACAATTAAAACACATGTAAAAACACAACAATAAAGACTTGTCAGAAGAACAGAAGGAATTCAGGCATATGATACCGACAGCATTTTGTTCACGGGATTATGCAGCTGAAAGAAACTTTATAGATCACCCAATTCTTAGGAAAGGTGAAGGTGAACTTCAGAGAGGGAAGTCCATCGAAATTAATTTTTTTTTTCATTTTTAAGACTTTAAGAAGACAAAAGCAGCAATGGTTAAGAAAGCACTGTCTCCATGAAGAAGTTCAAAAAACATCACCTTTCAGCTGTTTGGGTAGGAGATTGGACTCCAGAGCCAGTCTGCTGGATGTGAATGCTAGCTTAGCCTTTACTGCGTGTGTGGCCTTCCCTACCTGTGCCTCGGTTTCTTCCTCAGGTGATGGCAGGGAAATGCCTCTCTCTCAGGACTCTGGCAAACCTGTAGTGACTTAGGTCTGTACGGTACTTAAAATGGGGTACTCAGCAGAGTGTTACTGATTGCTGTTGGTATCTCGAAATTTGTAGACTGCTTAGATTGGAACTCTAGTCCTGGTGTGTGTTGCCTCAGTTTCCACATTTCTAAAATGGGGATAGCCTTTTTACCTACTTGTAGGAGTGTCTTAATGATTAAATGAGCTAATGTACAACTCCCGAAATAGCACTGGCAATTAGTCAATCACTCAAAAATTGTTAACTATTATGATAATGCTTTCACCGGTTTATAAGTATTAGAGTATTTTTTCCTTTTTTATTTGATTTATTATTTGTTTCTTTCATATTAACACTGACTTTCATTTTAAGCACAACCTTCACCAGCACAGATATTATGTTGAAATCTTTTGGCTTCAGAGGCAGCAGATTTGAAACATATTTTTGCCAACATCAAGCTATTAGCAAATGCTTGTTAGAGACACATTTATTAGATGATTAATTGCCCTGGAACTCATGTATCTAAAACCACATGATGATTACTCCTTTGAAAAGTGGAAATAAACATCAGGAGTTTCAGAATGTATATTTGTTATTTATCTTAGTTTCGTTGTCACAGTTAACAAGTATCTTCTAGGTTTTATTTTTATTTGTTAACGTTAATTATTTCCTTGTTCATCTTCCCTCAGATATTCATGATAGAATACAAGAGGCTCTCTGGAATTAGGGAGGGTAGAATCCTTGCTAACCAACAGCCAAACTCTAAATATAGACAATGATTCTTCCAGTCCTAATAAATATTCACTCATGCTTAAGTGGGTTTCAAGACCTGCATTCCTTACTCACAGTCGGATTTCTTGAAAAAAATGATCTACTTCTAATCCCTCTGATTTAATTTTTAGCCCATTTTCATGATCTCCCATCTACTGAATTTGCTCGAGTTTATTTCCACGTGCCCCATCCAACTGGAACACTTTCAGTTTTTATCTTCTGCGACTTCTGAGCAGCATTCCACATAGTTGTTTTGGTGGTAGGCGGAAAAATGGCCCCCTAAAGATATCCACATACGAATCTCTGGAACACTTGAAGATGTTATGTTACATGGCAAATGGAATTAAGGTTATAGATGTGAACAAGGCTAAAAGTCTTGAGTGATTATCCTGGTTTATCTGGGTGGGCCCAACCTAATCACCCAAGTCCGTAAAAACAGAAAACCTTTCCCAGTTGAGGTTGGGGAGAGAGAGAGGCAGTGCTGCTGGCGTGGAAGATGCTAGTTTCGTCCCTGTTTCTCAGATCATTCTCCTTTTCCATCTTCTCCTCCTGTAATTGGCCCTCAGGCCTGAGTTACTCTGAGCTTGGTCCTTAGCCTCCTCTTTCATGATACTCTCTCTCTGTGCAGACAAATCCATCTCCCCAGTTTCACTTCTCTCTCATCCTAGGTGTCTTTCAGAGTCTCAGAGTTATGTGTCCAACCACCTAGTAGATGTCTCCACCTGGCTACACCCCAAGTGCCTCCAACTCTACACCCCTTACTGAACACAGACTCCTTCACCAACATTTCTTCATAACAAGCAGCACCATGAGACCTTCATCCAAAGTACTGAGCAAGCTTGAGACTGTGGAATCTCCTTGATACCTACTTCTCCCTCAACTTCCATAACCAGACGTCATGTGTCCCTAAATATACTCCAAAATGTCTTTTGAGCTCATTCAGCTCTCACCATCTCCACCTCCACCTGCACCACTATCTTGTCCCCTAACTGGTCATCCTTCAGCCACTCTTAGCCCTTCTGATCCATTAGCCACAGAGCATTAAGACAGACTTTTCATAATCTCAGTCTTACCTGAGGTCCGTCTGTGGCAAACCTCATCCATAAGATCCTAAAGGATCTGGCTCTTCCCCTTTCAAGTGTCCTGGTATCCAACCATGGGGGCCTCTCCCAGCTCTTGGTATGCTCCTTCTACCTCAGGACTTTTTCCTCTGCTTAGAAATGTCTCCTCCCATCTTTGCTTGGTTAACCCATCTTTCAGCTTTCGGGCCCCCAGTCTACATGTCACTTTCTTAGGGGAGCCACTCCAAGTCCCTCAGGCTGGGTTAGGCTTCTCTGCTATAATTTCTCCAAATACCCACACTTGACATTTCAGGCACTTGGGAAGTGTCTAATTCATGTTTGAGTGGTCAGCTGTTCACTGGATGTCTTCCAAACTCAACTATTCCCCAGTGTAGCCTGCAATTCCTTATAGTCCCTAACACATAGTCTGTGATAGTTAAATTTATGAGTGAATTTGGCTAGATTATGGTGCCCAGTTGTTTGGTCAAACACCATGTAAATGTTGCTATGAAGGTAATTTTTTAGATATGATTAACATTTAAATCAGAAGACTGTGAGTAAAGCAGATTACATAATGTGACTGGGCGTCATCTAATCAATTGAAGGCCTTCAGAAAAAATACTGACATCTTCTGAAAAGAACCCTCCAAATTACCTTTGGATTCAAGACTGCAACAACAGCTCATTCTGAAATTTCTAGCTTGCTGGCCTGCTCTGAAGATTTTGGTCTTGCTAGTCCCCACAATCACATGAGCCAATACTTTAAAATGAATTCTACTAGAGTGCTTGGATGGCTCATTCGGTTGAGTATCTCACTCTTGGTTTTGGCTCAGTCATGATTTTGAAGTCCTGGGATTGAGCCCCACAGCAGGCTCTGTGCTTGGTGCGAAGTCTGCTGGAGATTCTCTCTCTCTCCCTCTCTCTCAAATAAATAAAATCTTTAAAAAAATAAAAATAAAAAAATAAATAAAGTGAATCTCATTGCTTCCTATATACACATCCTACTGGTTCTGTTTCTCTGAAGAACCTTGACTAATACAT